TTTACAACCTGCTTTCTAAGGTCGAAAAAGCTTGAAAAACTTTTATGTTGTTTGTGGTATAAAACTATGTTCCAAAGGACAGATCCCTTGTATCTAAGTGAGTCTTTCATAAATCGCGAGTTAAATTGTGGTATAGAAGAAAGTACTTTCCCTCGGACCAAATAGCCGTGGCTGGAGTTTTCAAGTATCGATTTCCTCAGGGGCTCGGGCAGGCTGTCGTTGTTTGCCTTATAAAATAGTCTTAGGATGTCAAGCTTATAATACAGGGAAAAGGTAGACCACTGATCATATTTGAGCACGTCATTTGTCGACATGTCCTTGGACAAGTTGAAAATGATTCTTGCCGCCCTACAATGTAGTCTTTCTGTAGAATCAAGTATGTCGGAGTTACAACATGATCCCCACAAAACTAAACCGTATTTTACAGAGGGTAGTATTACTTTAAAATAAAAATCCTTTAGCACACCCTTTGGAAGAAATCTGGATCGTTTCAGTAAGTTCAGCTTATTAGCAAAACTTTTCTTGGTCTCAAGTGCCTGAGGTACCCAGCTTAGATTTTGATCGACAGTCATGCCTAGCAGGCGCGTTTTTGTAACGCATCTAAGAATTGAGGTTCCTAGTTGAATTGGTGCATGTGGTCCCATCGGGGTTCCTTTACTAAGTAGCATCACTTCACTCTTTCCTGGGTGAGGTGTTAAACGATTTGTTAGACACCACGTGTATACTTCCTTCAGGGTCTTGTTTAACTGCGCAATAGCGATGTCCATAGTTTCTCCTATACAATAAGCCGTTGTGTCATCTGCGTACATGTACAGGGACCCCGAGCTGACTGAAGCAGGAAGGTCGTTTGTGAATAGCGTGAATAAAGTCGGTCCCAGCACCGAACCCTGGGGAATTCCGAAAGACACCCGTGAGCGTTCCGACTTGACTCCGTTTAATACTGTAAATTGTTGTCTTCCGTGTAAATAGCTCTTTAGCCAGTCAAGGAGCGTGACGGTAATTCCGAAATCTCGGTTTAACTTCATCTCCAGTATGTCGTGAGAAACACTGTCAAATGCTTTCTTAAAGTCAATAAAGGCCACGGCCACCGCCTTTCCTGAGTCTATAGCTGTTCTGCACGTTTCTGTTAAGTGCGTCAACAGTAATTCTGTTGCGTAACCGGTGCGGTATGCCCACTGCTTATTTGAAACCAAGTTGTTATCCTTGAAAACGTGTCGCACTAAGGTATCGTCAACTTCCGATTCCATAATTTTACTTGGCACACTGAGTAGAGAAACCGGACGATAGTTCCCACAGTCTGTTTCGTCATCCTTTTTGTAGATAGGTGTTAGTATTGCTATTTTCCAATCAGAGTAGACAGCTCTACATTTAATGCTTTCATGATAGAGGCTGATTAACGATGGGACTATTGCATTTCCCGCAAGTTTTATGAGAGCTAAAAGAGTCTGAGCTGAGCTTTTAGAAGTTTTATTTTATTATTATTTTTTTTATTTTTATTTTTTTTATTTTTTATGCCTTTGAAGTGTCTCCTTATTGCAGGTTTTGTGCAACAAAATGGCTTAATATTGTGTCCGTGTCCTTTTAACAGATGTGTCTGCTCAATGCAGGTTTATTTTGCAGTAAATGTGCAAAGAAAATTTAGGGACTCAAGCTGGTGTCCACTTAATAGAGGGTGTCCGCTTAATATGGGGTCCGCTTAATACAGGTTCCACTGTATGACTGCGTGATTTCATACAGCGTTTACGTAAAGGGACACCTAAGTTTCATTCTAAGGTGACGTCATGTTCGATTAGATGACGAAACTACACATGCGCTGCCTTTTCCAGTCTACCAGCCTCGCCTACCGGGGCTAACAGGCAACCGAACCCATGCTGACATCGTTTTATGGTACTGATGTTAGCGGTTTTCGTACGAGCTCGAAAATTTTGAGTGACACAGATGTTGATATTTCAGTTTGTGTTAGTGTCGTGTACAGAAATGCAGAGCCACAAGAGGGGTTGGGGGGGTGGCCGAAGGGAACTCTTATAATATGAAAGACTTCTACGGATGCCCTCTTAAGTACTCTTAAGAGTTGTCAATTTTGTGCGAAAGTATGGGGTTTGGAGAAAACAGAGTGCTCAAACAATAACATAATTAAGAACTAAAAATAAAAATAATTATAACTTATCACACCTTTTCCTTCCAGGTCGGATCAGTCTAAAGTTACCTAATCCTCGACTATATTCGTCTAAAATCAAAAACATGTCAACTCAATGAGATGAAATAAGGTCTTCATTTGGTAATCGTAATACTAAAATATCAACTGTAATAATAAAATATTGAAATGAGTAATATATTTGATATGAACTCGACTATGATAAAAATCGTCTCCTTGACAGACAATGAAGCATTAAAGGTAAAGTTCTGTAGAGATCGCTGAATCGACCGTCTGTCGGTGGGACAGTCAGTCAGTCAATCACTCAGTCAGTCTTTCTTTCCGTCTGTCTGTCTGTCTGTCTGTCTGTCTGTCTGTATGCCTGTCAGTCAGTTAGCCAAATCAACCAAGCCACTACCAACTGAAAAGACGAAAACAAACAAAAAATATATTTTTAACCTACAGGCATGCTTATTTACAAAAAGTGATAAAGAAATAAACGCTAAACTAGAGGTAACAGTCGAGAAAGTAATGAAAGAAAAAAAATACTTGTTATGAGTAACTGAAGATCCACAATAATGTCAGATTGTTCTCTGAAATAACTTTAGAGTCATAAAAAACAACCTAGTAGTAACTGAATTATAAAAAGCCGTATTTACCTGCTGGGAAGTTGCTATAATACGATACATCAAAGTTCGACCTGAGTGAAATAAGCAATAAAGAATAAAGCGTTTGGAAACTGACTTCATTACCCTTAAATTATAGTCTGATCAAGCAACTCTAATTAGAACTAATCGGTAAGTTGTATAATTGATGCAAATTGTATATTGATGAAATAAGTTCTGAAAAACCCGGGGGAAACTAAAACTAGTATTGTATCGTATTGTTCTGTATTGAAGTTTGTCGTTCTCATTTTACATTGATATTAAAGGAGCTCAGTCACGATTTGCGCATATTGAAGAGTTAAGCCTCAATTTTTCAAATTCGTTTTTGCAATCCGTGTTAATCTTCTCCATCCTTAGCCATCCTTGTTCCTTTATGGTTTATCAT